AACATTTATCCCAGTTAATGTTAGTCCATTTCTGGTTGCTACTTCTAAAACCTCGGTTAATTTCTGAAACGCATCTTCATCATTTTCTCCTGCTATTATTACATCATCTACATAAGTTAAAATTATTTTACGTCGAATTAAATCTTGAAATATCTCGGCTATGTATCTTAAAAAAATAGTCGCAATAACAGACAATCCAAACGGTGCCCTTAGAAATTTGAACTGTCCGCTACACGTTACGAACGCAGTGTCCTTTATACTTTCTTCTGCTACCGGTACATGCAAAAATCCATTTTTTAAGTCAATTACAGAAAATACGCGCGCCTTTCTTAATTCGTCTTTTTGATCCTTGATGAGCGGCATCGGGAAATGGTCACGTTTGATTTTTTTGTTCAATTCTCTATAATCAATGCAAACTCTATAGGAATTATCTTTCTTCGGAACTATGAGTACCGGATTTGCAAATTCGCTATTACTCGGTCGAGTAACTCCATCCTTTAACTATTCATTTATTTGTTTATCTAATACTGCTTTTTCTTTTGGCGCTAACCTTCGCGGTCTACAGTTAACCGGTTTATCATCTTTTAATATAATTTTTGTCGTTACCTTCGTATCTGTCGTTTTTGCTGATTGATATTCGCTAATTAACTTGAGTATTTTGTCCTTGTACGTGTTTAACATTCACTTCACCTGTTTCGATGTACATGATTTCTCGCAATTCTGTAAATGCTTCATCAACATTATTCGTAGCTGCCTCTTCTTCTGGGTTGATGGGCGTTTTTTCGTTTTACTGATTTCCACTAGTTGTAGGTGTATCTTTTTCTGTCGTTGATATTCTCTGGATCTTGATTATCTCGCCTTGATGTAATTGAATATCTACGTTCTTTAGAAAATCCTGTCCCAAAATAATATCGTGCGGAATCGGATATGTTGGAATAACAAATAATTTGAGACCATGTGTCTCTCCATCTACCATTACGACCGCATCAAAGGTGCCGACGATCTTCGTCGCTACGTTGCCTGCGCCGGTGATATTCATCGTTGTGGTTTCCAATGCAATGCAGTTCACGTTTGCCGGTTCGGCATTGTCTCCTTTTTTTACCGTGCATTTGTTCGCTATATGCCCAAAATTGTTGCATTTAAAACATTTTGTCCCTTTACCTTTATTTGGACAATTCTTAGCGTCGTGTTCTAGCAATCCGCATGTGCTGCAACGAGGCTTCTTTGTTTTAGCGAATGTATCTTCTTTTACTTTTATTTCTTCTTTCTTGCTGTAGTTCGACTTTTTTCCAGCTCTCTTTTTCATTTTATCGTATATTTTTAATAAATAAATTTGTTACATTCTCTGTCTTGTATTCCATTAATTATGTATTCGATAAGGGTATCATCTTCGACGTTACCTACGCTGGCTATTTCGCGCATCGCATATATGTATTGTCGTCCAGTTTCTTGAGGCAATATTTTCCGTTGATACAGTTGTGAATGTATCAGGGCACTGTTTATCTCCGTTTTAAATTCTTTTTCCAATCGTTTACGCAATTCACCCCACGATTGGATACCTTTCTCTGCTGTAATATATTGTTTTGCTGATCCTCGTAACATGCGTTTTGCATAGATCAGCACCTACAAATCGTTCCATTGCAATAACGTACCCATGTCTTCAAAGTCTTGAATCCATTTTTTGATGGATAACTTGTCGTCACCCATAAAATACGGTATGGACTCCACAACATCTCTAATTGTAAAAATACTGGATTGTTCACTGCACATTTTTCCCGTTGATCTGCCCTTATATTGCTTGCTTTCGATTTTATCCAATTCTTCGTCTTCATCTTCTGAGTCTTCCTCAGTTTCTTCAGTTTCTTCTATGTCATCTCTGCTTTTCATGTAGTTCTTCAATCTTCCTCGTAAGTCTGCTTTTTTACCCGTCGTTTCCAAGTTTAGTTCATTTAATCTTGTGCGTAGCTCACTGATTTTCATTTTATCGATTTCTTTGCCTTTAAATTTCTCTTTCTGTGTCACATCTTCGCTGGCTATTGCGATTTCTTCATCGTTGTTAATTTCGCCGTCCGGTTTACCCATTTTCTTCTATCTTTTCACTCACAAGTCACTTTCACTTTCTTTTTCGATTCGTTCACAATTCGCCACTACTTTCAGTTTATCACTTTACGTTTTCGTGGTTACTTCGTACTATGATCGATCGAAACTTTTTCACTTTTGATCCGTTTTCTCGACTATCCTCTTGGTGGACGAGCCCCCATTTGTAGGATGTGGTTGGGAGGGTGCCAAAAAAGACTAATAAATAAAATTAATAATAAAAAGAATAATAATAATAATAATGAATATGGTAAGTGTGAATTCTTTTCTCATCACGACGCTTGAGGTTTCGATTTCCTCACTTGTTTAACGACTGACTATCGCGTCCGATTGCCGTCCTCTCACACACACGCACTCTCGCATACACTACTTGCCTGCCCTACGCCGCATGCATGTACGCATAACATTTCCTCATGTATGGGATCGCATCCGCGCCAGCAATCTGGCAAAGAACGATCGAAAGCATTTTAGACAACATTCAAGGCATGGCGGTTTTCTTAGATGATGTAAGCATCGTGGGCACGAGTTTAGAAGATCACACGCGAACTCTAGAAACGGTGTTTACGCGATTACAGCAATATAACATTAAGATAAATCCAGATAAAAGTGAATTTTTCGCGCGACAGATAAATTATTGCGGTTTACATAAAGATCTAGATAAAATTAAAGCTATAGAAAATATGCAGAGACCGCAGAATATAACTGAAGTACGTAGCTTTTTAGACATGATCAATTACTATGGACGGTTTATTCCGAAATTAAGCTCAATACTACAGCCATTAAATAGTTTACTGCACAAAAGTACACCGTTCCACTGGACGAAAGAATGTGAACAAAGTTTCAAAGCAGCACAGGAAGTGTTTGTTAGTCCCAAATGTTTAGAACATTCCGATCCGAATTTACCACTGTAGCCATGGTTAAGGAATGAAGGATTAAGATTCTGGACAGACAAAGGTCTATTGTGAGGAACATGGTTATACAGAGGATTAGGAATGGATAATTGTAACAGGAATTCAGAATGAACGGAATTATACAAAAGAACATAATACAATTCTTCATTTTACAATATTTTACAATTTTCAATCTTTGAAATGGAAGAATCATTCTATATTCTCCTGCTCGTAATTGGCGTCCAGGTATTATCGCCGAACTCTCCAAAAACGAACGGACGTCTAGGAATAACCTCTCCATAGCTCTAACCGGGATGTCCACGAGCAGCCTGTTCTCTCTTATTCGACAGGCATCCAGGTATTATCGCCGAACTCTCCTGCCGGAGTCTATAAGCCGAATTCCGAGAGCGGCCGATGATCTTACCTCGTCCTCTCTCCCGGAATGGCAAATAGGCCGAATGCCTCTACGAGCCCTCAATTTATATCGCACGGTTACTATCCGCGGCCGCGGTTGTCAACAATCGCGTCGTTAGGCGAGAAGGTTCGCGAATTCGCGGTCCGCGCCTCGCGTTTCGCACCGCGCAGCGACCTCCCTCCTATGTTCTAGAAGTTTCGTAAGCTCGCTTTCCGGATTTCTCGAATTTCGTATGAGTAATGTATTCGACTGGCGACATTCGACGCTAGTCGTCATAAGCTGCGTAAGTTAGGCAGTATGGTCTAGACCGCCGAACGAGTTACACCTGTAGTTAATTCAAATAAACTACCTTTTACCATTCACTCGAGTAGCTATTTAAGAACCCATACCGTAAGACCGTGGAGAACACGACAATTGGCGACGAGGAGTGGCATAAGTTTCAGATGGTGAAAAGTCGGGTTATTCGAGTACTTAGAAGTGAAATGGGATGGCATGTGCAAACGGATTCGTAGAGTAATGGTACGTGAACAATAAGTGTTATGTCTGGGAGTAATTCAACAGACAGAAAAGGTGTTAACTGGACTTATCATTTGAAAAAAGACGAAATAATAGAAGAATTATGTAATCGAGGTGTAGCGGCAAACAAAGAATCAACAAAGGACGAGTTACGAGCACAGTTGGTCGAGTTAGTACGAGAAACATTTCTAGTAAACGTAGAGGCGGTCGCAGAAACGTCAAAGAAAAAAAAACGAGTACGGGGATAGCTCAAGCATCAAGAAAGTGGACAGTGCAGAAAGTAATACGGAAAGTGATAGTGATTCGGTTTTGTTTAAAAACAGACGATTGGGACACGTTTACCGAAAGATTGGAAATTCTATATGCGGTTAAAGGAATTCAAAATGATAAAAAAGCAGTGAACTTGCTCACGCGTTTAGATGAAGAAGCCTTTTTGCTAGTAAAAAGCTTGTGTTAGCCAACGAAGCCAGCGTCGAAAACGTATGACGAGTTAGTGAAGGTCATGACAGAATACTTAAGGTACTAATACTCCCGTGCCTTGTATGCGCTGGTACGCACTCACACAGCTCCATACCACTGTATACGTACACAGAACTGCAAGGGTTCCGCATTGTTCTATTTTTGTCTCAACAATGCAGATTCGAGACCTCTCAATACTCGTTTCCGCTAGATAAATGTTCAAACTAGAGCGCAAGCTCCCATAGGGACTCTACTTTTGCTCTTTTCTGTCATAATTAACAATATTCGGCAGCATGATGCCGACCATGAAAGCTACCAAGCAGCCGTGCCGAGACACACCCACACATGCAACACCCGGTGGCATCTCCTACGAATAGACTGCGTGAGACGCGATACCTGAAAGTAAGGGTCTAGCGGCTAGAAGAAAAATTATTGTAAATATCATTGTAATCAGAAAAATGCCACAAATGTAATATTGCAAGTCTCGCTTATTCGACAGAGTCTAGTCGATATTTACAATAATTTTTCTTCTTTCCTATACATGAAAGTAATTTATGACTACAACAAGAGGAGGACAATTCAACTAAAAATAAAGTCAATAATTTAAAAAAAGTTTTTTATTTATTAAAATTTTTGGTAATTATAGAGAACAGGTACATCCTCACCGATTTCGATGATTTTTGAATATGTTGTAGAAATCAACATTTTGAACAACTTCTTCTTATACATATAACCGTCGCTCGGCCTTAGTTTCCGAGATATTTGCAAAATACCATTGCTACTACACAATGAATATTACGTATAGCTACGCGTCCGTAGGAGCGTGTGTGTAAGCGTTGAATTGTCGATTGTTTAGGCTCGGAATACACGTCCGCGTCCGTTTACGCGATTGTTTAGGCTCAGAAAAAAATCTAGTTTAACACTGACGTCGTTACTGAATTACTTTCAACGGATAAAAAAGAAACTTGCGTGAATATTTGACTGTATGCGGCAGATATGATACACTAATTTATTTTTTAATTGAACAAAGAGTGATTCATGGAAAGATGTATTGTACTAAGTGCAAAAGTGAAAAACCAATGAAGTTTAATCGGGAAGAGCTAATATTTTATTGTAATGCAGTCTATTATTCGAAAAATTGCCATAAAAAAAGATTGAAAATACAGTGCAGCTCACAGCTCAGTGCATTGAGTAATACATGGTTTAGCAATATACATGCTTCTATTCAAGCCATTTGTGCCTTTATCGGCTATCATTTAGTGCTAAAACCACCACGGCAAGAATTTCTACAAAATGAACTGCGAATAACGGCGAAAACCGCAGTTGATTGGACCAGTTATTGTCGTCAAATGTGTGTTCTATGGGCAGAAAAACATTCTGTTCTAATCAGAGGTGAGAATGAAATTATTGAGATCGACGAAGCCAAATTGGTAAACAAAAATTTAATAAAGGAAGGATGTTAACTGGCCAGTGGATATTCGGAGGAATAGAACGCTCCAGCAAACGTATATTTATTGTACCAGTTCCCAACAGGTCATCCGAAACGCTACTTGAAGTGATCCGAAATTGGATCAAACCTGGTACAATTATTATTAGCGATTGTTGGAAAGCGTACGGTTGCCTCCACAAAGAAAGATTTCAGCACTTAAGAGTTAACCATAAACTCAATTTCGTTGACCCGGAGACAAATGCTCACACGCAAAACATTGAAAGAGTATGGCGAGAAGTAAGTAAGAAAAAATTCAAAAAGTTTAAAAACATTTATTGTTAATAGAATTTTGAAATGACCACGTTTATATTTTTATACTGTTAGTGTCTTCTTATGATTATTAATCTGTAATTTTTTCAGATTTTTGGAAGTGATGGAACGATGTTGGAAAAATGAAAAACCGATTGTTGTTTATATTATTACCTTAATTTTTCATCTGACTATGTTCATATTGTGGCTGTTATTATTGTATGATTTTGTCAGATTTTTTGCACACGTTTGCCACATACAAAAAAATTGTTAATTGATATTTTTTAACTTTTCGTTCGCAGCGGAGTACTATGTATATTCGAATCTTTTAAACAAAATTTGTACATCTCGATGAGATATGTGTTGCTTTATTTAATAATAAACGTAACAAAAATAAATCTAGAGTTGAGGGACACTGTGTTTTAAAAAAGTGAAAGTTTCTTTCCTTCTGTCTTTTATAGTTGGGCCTCTGACAGTATTTATGTTCAGGAGGGCAATGTGAAAAACATGTGGCAGACCCAAGCCGTATTTTTCGTCTACGACCTGGGCGCCGATTTTCCTATGCGCTTTTGAAATATTTAGTGTGAATTTGTTCATTTAAAAATTCCATAATCCAATAATATGAACCTATTTTCAAATATATTTTTCCGAAAAAAAAATATTTTCCAAGAATCACTTCTTTCAAACCATTTTTATTCTTTTTTTTAGGAATTTTTTTCTCATAAATAATAGAAGTCGCTCCAATATGTTATTTAACAAAACATGCTTCATTTTGACTGAGAATGTGAAAAATAATTTTTGTAGACAATTTTAGAGTTTGACCAAAATCGTCGGTGAATTGGTTTGCGAAATCTTTATAAAAACCTTCCTTCCTTTTTAAAAAATTGGATTTTCACTTTACAAAAAAAACTTTCTATTTGTTTTTTGTAGGATTCGATGAGATCTTCAACGAAAAAGTTTCAATCAAAAATGTTAATTATTAAAAGAACTACTGATTTATTAAGATTTGTCAACTTTTTACATATTTTTCCGTCAAAAAGAACTAAAAAGTAGGCCGTTTCGATTATTTCATATTTTTTAAAAATTATTCATCTAAAGGCGCGCAGTTTCCGTGTTTGATAATTGACATCCGTTTACTCAATCAAGAGTTATGATTTTTTCAATGTTTCGAAAGTATCGAAACTAACGAATTTCATTATAGATGTTACTTTTCCGTTGCAATATCGACTACCACAGCGAAAATTTTACATTACATTATTTACCAGTACAATAATCATAAACTCATACACACCGTTGGATTCAAAATAAAAAAATGCATTTACTGTTCTACTAATGAACAAAAATTGTTAAAAATTTCGGGGTTGGGGGGGTGGGTAATTTTTGAAAAAAATATTTTTTTTAAATTTGTTGATACTGGTTTATAGGCCTACAAAAACACTGCAATGTTTACTTGAACAATTATTATTCAAATCAGAACTTATTTAATACATTTAAACCCACTTTAAACATGCATATAATGACCATTCAATGGAGTAAAAATATTAATTATCCGAATGTACGATATATAGTACTCCTCTGCGAACGAAAAGTTAGAAAATATCGATTTATAATTTTTTTGTATGTGGCACACTTGTGCAAAAAATCTGAAAATATCATACTATAATAACGGTAATAAAATATTAAAACAGACACAATATGAACATAGTCAGATGACAAATTAAGGTAATAATATAAACAACAATCGGTGTTTCATTTTTCCAACATCGTTCTACCACTTCCAAAAATATGAAAAAATTACAGACTAATAATCATAAGAAGACATTAATAGTGTAAAAATATAAACGTGGTCATTTTATAATTTTCTAAAAAAAAATGTTTAAAAATTTTTGAATTTTTTAAAAATCCATTTTGCAGTGAAAAAATCTGAAAAAACTTCATGAACACGTACGTCGTAATATAGAGTGTACTAATTTTTTACAGACTGTTTTTAAAAATATGTGTAGCGTTCATTTTAAATCAGTTTAATTTCGCAATATTTCAAGTCTCCAGATTTAAAAAAATATGTCTGTATAAGGGAAACTTAAGGCCATATCGTTATTGCACGGTTTTTGTGTTATTTTGTTTCTAGATTGAAGCGGTTAGGTAAACAAGTTTGCGAAGAGGAGCAGACTGAAACTGTGTCAGCTGCAACGGCACATGAAAAATTACAAATGAAAGAAGCCATAGAAATAGAATTAGATGGAAGAGACATTGTAGAGAATGAATGTCAAGATCGGCAAGAAGAAGAAATAAAAGATACTAGAAATGAAACAGAAGAAGAACTTCATCGGATAGTAAACGTCGTCATGCAGACAGAAACTGCCACTGACGAAGAAGAATATCTAGTCGTAGAAAAAGAAACGACGAAATCAGACGAAAAGTTATGTCGGTCTGACGGGTTTAGCATTGTTGACATGCACCACGTGTTCGACCAGATAAAATTAATCGGCGAACATTCAGAAACGTTTGAATGTTCAACAAGGCACCTGGAAATAAAAGGTCTGAAAAGATCGGGTTTAAATTCAACCCTTATTCTAGAATGCAGGATGTGCAATTATAGAGCCGAAGTGCACAGCCAACCTGAAAATGCTCAGGTAATGAATACAACTGAGAATGCAGTTGCAGCAAACATTCAGTGGAGGCGGCTACGCACAAATGGAGGACTTTTTGACATCTATCAATGCCCCTTGCATGTCAAAGAAGAAATATAGGAATTGTCACGACCACATCGTCAATAAATTAATCGCTGCTGCCGAAACAGAAATGGTAGCAGCGGCAGAAGAAGAAAATTTTGAATGCACGTATCACTTGTTGCGCAACTTCGGCAATAAGTTAAAAGAGGTTGCGAAGAAGACTCCGCCGAGCTGTTATAGACAAGCCATCGAGAATAATATTCGACGCATGCGTATGGGAATTACAAAAGCTGCAGAATATAGATTTAATGAAAATACTTCGATATTACAGAGACAACAAAAATTATACGAAGATATTATGAATGTATCCAGCCACGTGTTTGGAGAACATAAAGACTGCAAAAGAATTGGATATTTCTGCAACGGAACGATGAAGGAGAATGAACAAAACATCGTCCCACATTTATTAAACCTGGGAGTTTACCAAAAAATACAAGATATTCTTCGATCGTTGGCGGCACACGCAGAAAGCTTACTGTACCGAACCAACAATAATACGGTAGAAAGTTTTAATGCCATCATTGCGAAATATATTTGCGGAAAACGCATTTATTTTGGCCAAAGAGGATCATACACAGGAAGATGTGCCGCTGCTGTAATTCAGTACAACACTAAAGAAGTGTTGTCTTGATTACAGAGAACGTGTGGAAAAGAACCGCCACAGCTGTTACTAGATCTAGAGAATTCGAAGAAGAAGAAAGAATTGACAAATGCCGAAAAAGAAAAGAAGAGCGAAACCAAAAAGAAAAATTTCCGTGCAAGTAAAGATAAAGATTACGGATCGAATGCACAGAAGCCAGACATGGATGAATTTATGTTCGATCTCCAGAAAGAGAAACATCTAGAAATGCTGAACGAATAGCAAAATCAAAAAGCAAAAATTGAGCAGGAAACCATAGAACAATGTAAAAGCAGGAAATGGTTGGCTCACAAGTCAAAACTTTTGACAGCGTCCAACTTCGGTAAAGTTTGCCGCCGACGCAAAGATACACCGTGTGCCAAGATGGTACAGTTCCTGTTGTATCCACGTGTATTAAACGTTCCTGCCGTAGAATACGGACGGGAGAATGAAGAAATTGCTCGGGGAGAATCGTCGAAAAAGGAAAACATTGAAATAAAATAATGTGGTCTTTTCATCGACGCATCGATACCCTATTTGGGAGCATCGTCAGATGGCGTTATCGGTGAAGACGGCATTGTAGAAATAAAATGCCCGAAATCCGCAGATGTTACTCCAGAAGAGACAATAACAACAAACAAGTCTGTGAAGGCCATATTTATCGACAGTACGGGCAACGCATTGCGCAAAACACACCCGTACTTCTACCAAGTCCAAGGACAATTGCACATAACGGGTAGAAAATACTGCCTGTTTTGTCTGTGGACCAAGAAAGGAATTATATCCATTCGTGTTGAAAAGGATGACGATTTTTGGAAGCGAGAAATGGAACCAAAATTAACACAATTTTATCTGAATTGTATGCTGCCAGAAATAGTTGACAGCAGATATAACAGAGGCATGCCAATACGGGAGCCTCAGAATATCAAAAAGTGAAGGTAAGTAAGAATAAAAGTTTAATATTATAAAGTGGCGATCCAAACGCTAACCGACGTCGAGCTGCACACTTTCAGATAAGTGCGCAGACTAGCTAATTCTATCAGCGAATGAATATAATATTAAAATATTATATTAAAGTTGCAATTTTCCGACGTCGAGTGCACTTACAAAAGTGCAACCCAACTGACTCAATCAGCTGGTGACACAGTGGAGTAGGCCTACAGGGGATACCACTGACAAAAAAAAACGCATCAACAATAGTACCTCAAGGGTGATGAGGAAATCTATTGATTCGCGTGTCACTTTACCTTTTATATTTTCAGATTATATTAATTTTCTTTTTTGTTATGTTGTAGGAACGAATTATGTGGACTATTGTTACGAAGTTGACACAAGTATGATACCCGGAAACATAGCGATCGTCGAGATGTTGACCGACGACTCGGCGAACGAGCATCAGCTGGCAAGATAAGCAGAAGAGAGGAATTTTAATTTTTAAATCTTAAAGTATATCTTTCATTTTTTTTTGCATTTTGTTAATATACCTTTTCTTTCTGTTTCAATAGCAAATCATTTGGAACGTTTATCTTCGAGATGATAATGGAAGACGCGGAGGAAAAGCCGTTTCGAAAACGTTCAACAGCTCACAAGGGAAGGTCGTGATCCGGACGAACACTTTTTGAAGGAGACCGGACTCAGAGCTGGGTAAAATAGGTATTCTAAATAGTAAATAGTAAAAAATATTTTACGTTGCATCATGCATGTATTTATAAAACTAAAGTATTTTATTTCAGATCACGCATGTACTTTTAAAAATGATTATAATAAAATATGAATATTAAATTAATTATATAACAATTAATGAAAGAGCATTTTCTAAACAAATTTTCATGTCATATCCTCTTTATATCTCCTAGATGTAAATAGGTCTGTAAGTTAACGATATTATCGTGTTCTGCACTGACGGACAAAATTAAAGGGACACTATTTTAAAACCGATTTTGGGGAAACTTCGCGAGGAGTAGTTTTGAAGTGTCCTCTAAATGTGTGCAAAGTTACATTGGCGAGGGTTGATAGAAAGGGGTTAATTCGCCCCCGT